GGCCAGGACGAGGAGAAATCCGGTCCAAACGATTCCGGAACGCTCGCAGAGCGTTCCAGAACGCTCTGAGAAGGCCGCGGTGCCCGAGACATCTTCCAGAACCGCCAGATCTCATGGATTCTCGATCAATTCTCACCTGATTGTATCCCCGTCCTGGTTTCGTCGCAGGCGGGGAGGTCGTCGAAGTTGTATGAGCGCTTTGCGGACCGAATATGAGCGGATATGGGCGGGCGGTAGTACCGCCGTTGTCTGTCCGCCGTTGTCTCCGCTGGCCTTCCTCCGATTGTCGCGCAAGGCGGAAGTTTTTGTTGCGATGGCCTTGCGACCGATGCCACCGACCCTGTATGCTATGAGGAGAAGGCGAGGGATGAGGTGACAAGGTTCCTCCCCAGCCAGCGACGGAAAGCGTCAGAACCCCGGACCGAACATTTTTCATGTTATGAGGAGACGGCGAGGGATGAGGAGGCGAGGTTCCTTCCAAGCCAGCGAGGGAAGGCGTCGGAGCCCCCGACCGCACCTCTTTATGCGCAAGGGCACGGCGCTGGCGCTCGACGGCGCCCAAGCTTTCCATTCCGCCGCCGCGGAGACCGGCGTGCCCAGCCTGCCTGGCGTGAACCACCGGGACAAGGCCTTCACACACGTGACGGCTGCTGAAGAGCAAGCTCCCGAAGCGCACAGCCGCCGCGCTGCGCCGTCACTCCCGCGGCAAGGCGCCTGCGGCCCAGGAGACGAAGTTGTACTTCAAGCTCGCTGCGGGGGATGATTCAGTGGAGTCGGCGCAGGGGCACATCAAGAACACGATGCGCCGCGTGGGCAACGTGGGTAGACACAACGCCAACGAGACCAAGATGGCGATTAAGACCTTGTCAGGAGCAGCCTTACTGAGGCGCGCGGGCGTGGCCAGCGCGTTGGACGCTCTGCGCCATTATCGTGTCGTGGTGGCCAATGGCGTTGCGCTGTTGACCCCGCGCGGAGTCATGCGCTTGGGCCGTGGCCGACGGGAGGGGGGGGGGGGCTGAATTCTCTTGGGGCGGGCGCATAGGGGGCGCGAGCATGCCCGCAGCAGCCACTCCGCGGCGCGCCGCCGCCATGGCTCACAGACATCAGGCTCGCGCGCAGACAGGGAGCGCGCGCGCGACGAAACGCGCAGTCGTTCTCATTGTCGTCGTCAATTCGACCATCATCGGGGGCCGCCCTTCCCACTCCTGGCGTGCAAACAGCAGATATTGCAGTGCCCAGATAACACAGTAGTCAGACGCATGCGAACGCAAATATGCACGCGCAGAGAACTGCGGAAGGAATGCGAGCACGATAGAAGAAGAGGGGCAATGATCATGCTGTAACCATGATGATAACGGTGAATACGAGCATGGAATGCCTTGCGCAAACCACCGCGGCCGGTCGACCCCCGGCCCCCCCGCGGCCCCCCGAGGGCCCCGGGGCTCTCGGCGGCGGCCTGGCGGGCAGGCCAGGAAACCAAGAAAACCAAGAGACACGCAGAAAAACCCAGAGAACAGCCGCTCGAACCAAGAAAACAAAGACAACCATGGGTTGTCTTGGTTGTCTTGATTGGCTGGCGCGTTTTCTCGGTTTTTCCTTGCGTGTTTTTGGTTTTCTTAATTTCCTGGCCTCCCCGCGACCCCCGAGGGCCCCGGGGCCGTCGACGGCGGCCGAGCGGGCAGGCCAGGAAACCAGGAAAATCGAGAAAACCCAGAGAACGCAAAAAGACAAACCAAGAAAACAGTCGCTCGAACCAAAAAAAACACCCATAAGTTTGTTCTTAGTTTTCTTGGCCCCCTGGCCCCCCCGCGGCCCCCGAGGGCCCCGGGGCCCCGTCGCCGTCTTCTTGGGCGAGGAAGGGCGAGGAACAGGCGAGGGGAAAAGTTATCACTTGCGCGTTCAATTCACGACCCCCCACGAGACGCGATAGGAGTCTAGGAGAATACTAGGGGCCGGCGGTTCCTGGCCCCCCCCCCCCAGAATGCTTCGGGCTTTAAAAGGGTGGCAACGTTTGGAGGGGGGGGCAGAGGGGGAGGGGGGGGAGGGGAGATGGGGGGGCCAGGAGGAGGAGGAGGAGGAGGAGGGGGAGGAGGAAAAGGAAAAGGAGGAGCAGGATACTTCCAGGCGCAATGCCATTGCGCCTTTTGGGTGCAACGCCCACTTCGGGTGCAATGACGTCGCCCCCCTCGACGCGGAAGATGCAGGGGTGGCCCTTGATTGCGCCATCGAAGTGTCGTTGCCTCGGCCTGCCAGTTTTCTCCCCCGCGATGGTGCCAGGGATCGGGTTGTCTTTCTTCTTCGCGAGGTCGTAAATATTGATGTGGGCGCAGTCGTCGCCGAGCACGCGCGCGCCTCCATCTGCGGCGACCCGGCCGCCCCCGCAGCGCGCCGGCGACCGCGAGCCCCCATCCAACCCTTCGGGGGCTCCAATCTACCGTTCGCCATCTCAGCGACGACGACGTTGCGGAAGCGTTCTCGAGGGTCTCGCGGCAGTCCTCAGCGTTAGACTTTTGCATGAAAGGGATGGGGTGGGAACGGATGTAGACGATGGGCTTCTGGACTTTCCCGGCAGGCGGCGAAGTCGCCCTCCTGGAATGCCGCGCCACCGACGGCCCCCATGGATGGGGTCGCTCGCGCACGCGGCGCCGAGCTCGATGACGGCGAGGCGGCGCCAGAAGACCGCAGCGAGCGCACGCTGCGCCAATCTCCCCGGATGGACGGGCATGCGCGGTTCCGCTCGAAGCATGTCAAGCAGCGGAGCCAGCTGAACAGGTCAGTACTTTTCCCAAGGAGGGCTCGGCAAACAATGCGCTCACCACTCAGCCAGCGCTTGACCACGTCCTCGATCCACGGCGCGCCGCCATGGTTCTCCTGCGCCGTCGCAGCTCGGGCACGTGCGAAATGCTTCACTTGTTATCGAAATTCCTCGGGAACTTGCAGCACATCGCTCGAGACGAAATGGCGGCGCTCCCCTGGCACGTTCGCCCTCGGGGCAGCCTTGCCAGATTTGGCATTGCCGCCGTCGTTCGCCATGATCAGGCCAATCTGCAGGGGGGGGGGGGGGGACGGTCTGCCACACTGACGCTTCTGCCGCCATGTCCATCTCGCGGCCCTCTGGGTTCCCAGCGAAAGAAGTGCACATAATCAGGCGCCTCTCCTCCTCGCGCCGGCAGGCTGACTTGTAGTCGAGCGACGCGGGCACGCCCATTCAGCGATTTGTCGCTGGGTCTTCCGGAACAACGCGGAACCTTGCTTCCGTGGGCCCTTCGCGGGACATCTCCAGGGCGACGCCATGCGCGTTGACATGGGTGCTGTCGGACATCGGCTCGGGGGCCTGGAAGAATTGGCCATGGGGCCCAGTGAACTCCGCACTCTTGCCCTTGGCGGGGCGGCGCTAGGTCTAACGCGACGCGCCTGCCCTCGCTGGGCCAGGCGGTCCGATCGCCCTGGCGGCCGCGACCGAAGTCGGCGCGGCACGCAGCGGACTCAGCAGTTTCCAGCCGCCGCGTCTCGGACGATCTGCCTGGAGACGAGAAAAGCAACGACTTTTGCCGAGCAGCTGAGGATGGCCAAGATCTTCCTGATGCACGGGTACTCGATCTCCTCGACAAACGCCCAATCTCCATTGCTGCACATGTAGACGCCGCCCTCGCGGGCGCGGAACTTCCCCCCGCGCCGCAGGTCGATGGCGCGCGTGGCCAAGATGTCATTGGCAGCGTTGCAGACGTGATCCTCCTTCACATACGTCGCCGCGACGTACATGGCAGACTTCCTCGCGTGGCTCGGTGGAACCGCCCGAGGAGAAACAGGGTTCTCCACGTCGGCATTCGCGTCGTCGTTGGCTTCGCGCGAGGCCCCCACCTCGGGCAGCACCTCTGGCTCGAAAGCG